ATTTTGTCCGCAGTTCTACATTTTTCTTTGCGTCTTCTTCACCGATCACCATTTTGTATAGGGAACGGGAAATAGAGACTGAAAATGGACAATTTCCTGCAAAACGAGAAGTTGTTCTAATTTTTTTTGCATGTTATGGAGGAATATCTGTTGGTTCAGAATCCAAATTTTCGACCTCCCACCCCTCGAGCTTCCCCCGTACCACCCTTAAAACTAAAGAAATTTGGTTGGTTTCTTAGTTTTTCAATCATCGCTTTTTATAGATTCACTTTACAAAAAATTTTTATTAGAAATTGTACACCATCCAATTTGACACAGATTTGTTATATACTTCTTTTCCGTAAATTTTTTATTTCAAAAGATACACTGCTTCAAAGTTCAAATTTTTATGTACCTACTTATGTACATACTTTAACGTTATCTCTATAATGATAAGATTCATATTATGAGAAAATACCTCGATTATAAAGATATGGTGCTACCGTATTCTGCCCTCCTATCAAAGGGGATGATAGCACTTTAACTCCTTGGTCGTAGTAGGTATTTGAATCACTGTGTGATTATGGCTCTTTCGAATACAATTATCAAATAAAAAAAGTGGTCTTACTTCGTTTTAACCCCTTCCATCCCCTACAAAAAAGGATGATTATTTCAACCCCCTATAGTAGTGATTGTTCAACTATCTAAAACCTGATCTAAGATTACATCGCTTTCGAACATAATTTACAAATCGTTATTTTATATGAATGTGAATAGTAAATATTTTTAGCGCGTTTTTGAAAAAAATTAGCGCTTATATTGGCTGTTCGATGGGTCGGTCGGTCGGCTGCAAAGGTCTTTAAGTATAACCATTGAATAAAGAATCTCTTTACTGTCCAAGGAATCATCATATAATGCTCGGTTTTGAAGCAGTAGCTTTGTGACACAATTCTTTGCATGCAGATTATATCTCAAACTATAGCATCAAATGAGTTTGCTAATAAAACCTCGATCCGTCGCACAAAAACTTAGTAGCTTAAATAGCTCGAAGCATTGGGTACTTTCAATCTTATTTATTTTAAAGGCGACTGTCTACGACATGCAAAAGAAAAAAACCCAACAAAAATTTTTCCGAAAGGGTAAAAACCGAAGTAAAAACAAAGATTCTACATATCCCAATTAATCCCGTATTTAAAAAAAGGCACCAGGGACAATCATCCTATTAAAAAACCCAAAAGAGCAGGGGTAAAAATCCCACCATCCCAATTAACTCGGGCGGGGGCACACTAATGACAGGGGGGCCGTGTAAAGGGGCACAAAAAATATAATTGACAATTCAACTCATGTATAAAAAATCGCATAAGCTGCAGTGCAATTGTCACCTTGACAGCGGCAAAAGTTACCTGCAACTTTTCCAGCGACAAATGCACTATATAGTGGTTTATTCACTACTAGCATTACAACGTATAATTAGTAGGCTGGTATTCGATGCTAGATTTTATTTTTCTCTACCTCGTGGATTATTTCTCTCCTATTAGGGGATAATGAATTTGACATTTGAGTTGCCATAGTTAGAGGCAATAAATAAATAACTCTATCGTTCTACGTTATGTACACGAAGTAAACAAGGATTTTATTGAACTGAACAGAACTTAAAGAACTTATTTTTGAAAATTATAATTAATCACACACAATTATTGTACGCGATATTCTTCGAAATACACCAACATAACATTTTCACTAACTTGTGAAACAAATTTTGTTTGACACCACTCTTTAAAATTTATATAAATTTTATTGTAATAATGTTTTGATTTTTCAGGCAAGAGGTCGTTAGCGGCCACGCTTTTTGCTGCCTCTCGTATGTCTGGAGGAGTGCACAAAAATTCACTATCCGTATTTATTTAACAGAAATTAGCGAAACACGCAAAATGCAACTTACAAATAATGTATGTAATGTCAAAGTCACAGCCTTCTTGTAAAAGTACCTACCTATTATAGGTACATAAAATCGTGTTTTCGAATGATATTTAAACATGTGTTAAAACGGTTCATCTGCTAGTAGTGAATAAAATAATATATAAACCACGGTAGAGAAGACTTTTCATCGCCTCACTTCTTATTTCCCGAGACGCTTTGGCTAAGAAAATCAACTTCTCTACCTTGGTTTACTATTATTCACTACTAGCATTACAACGGTATAATTAGTAGGCTGGTATTCGATGCTAGATTTTATTTTTCTCTACCTCGTGGATTATTTCTCTTCTAGTAGGAGATAATGAATTTGACATTTAGGTTGCCTATAATAAGGGGCAATAAATAAATAACTCTATCGTTCTACGTTGTGTATATATTATTTACTCTATGGTTATGTTAACGAAGTAAGCAAGGATTTTATTGAACTTAAAGAACTTACTTTTGAAAATTATAATTAATCACACAATTATTGTACGCGATATTCTTCGAAATACATATAACATTTTCACTAACTTGTGAAACACATTTTATTTGACGCCACTCTTTAAAATTTAAATAAATTTTATTGTAATAATGTTTTGATTTTTCAGGAAAGAGGTCGTTAGCGGCCACGCTTTTTGCTGCCTCTCGTATGTCTAGAGGAGTGCACGAAAATTCACTACCCATATTTATTTAACAGAAATTAGCGAAACACGACAAATGCGACTTACAAATAATGTAATGTCAAAGTCACAGCTTTCTTGTATTATAGGTACTTAAAATCGCCAAAGATATTTAAATATGTGTTAAAACAGTTCATCTGCTAGTAGTGAATAAAATAATATATAAACCACGGTAGAGAAGACTTTTCATCGCCTCGTTTTATTTCCCTCGACGCGAAGCGTCTCGGGAAATAATACCGCTCGGCTAAGAAAATCAACTTCTTTACCTTGCTGTATAATTACTATTTTTCACTTATTCAATTTCTAACCAATTATCGCATTATCCGTTTCCATATGACTAGTATGACATTTGTCAATAATTGCTTGAAGTGGTGAATTTCTTGTTCGTTAAATTAATAATAATAATAATAATAATAATGTGTTTATTTCCACCAAATTAAAGAAATGGAAACCACAGGGGTTATCGGGTCAGTTGCTGCACAGGCAGGTTCTGATCTTCCACCGACTCCCTGAATACAATTAGAATTAACATAATCAAGTAATGCTTATAACTGAGTAATATAATAAAAAGGAAAATATGAAATAGTAATAAATGCACATAGGAGTAACTAAATGAGAGTGAGATGAAAAGAGATTGAGTAATATACTAAGAAAAGCGGACAAAGAGACGAGAGACAAGTTAAACAAGATAGATATGAATGACAATCTACAACGTACGTACAGAGTCATGGGCTAATATTTGACGCAATTTAATTTTGAAATACTGCGGAGAAAGGGGCTTAATCAAATCTGGAACAGACGAATATACTTTAAAAATATTATAACTAAAAGATCTCTTGTACATTTCTGTGTGATGAGAGGGTGGAGTAATCCCACCTCTAAACCGTAAATTTAAGTTGTGAACATCGGTTCTAAAAGATATTTTGCGGTATAAATATGGAGGAGATTTGTTCCAGATAATTTTATGATACAGACACGCCGCAGTAAGCAGTCGCCTATCCCTCATGCTGAACCAGCGTAATTCTTTTAATTTGGAAGATACTCGATCAAACTTCCTAAGACCAAATACTAGTCTAATACAGGAGTTTTGTACTCGCTGTATTCTTGCAGACATATCCTGAGTGATGCACGGACCGTAGACTTGCGAACAGTAATTAAAGTGGCTTAGTACCAGCGCGTTACAGAGTTGAGCTTTTAAAGTTTGGGACAAGTAGTGCCTATGGGGAAAGATACATTTTAAATTTGCATATGCTCTCTGGATGTAGCTAGTGAGTAATTTGTTGTATCTAAACGAATTGTCTATCATTATTCCTAAATTTTTTGCTTCCTCCTTTAGTGCAACAGCTTTGTCGCCAATTCTGAATTTTACCAAATGTTTCAAGTCGGTGACTTTCTGCTTGTTACCAAACAACATGACTGCCGATTTTAGAGGATTGAGAACCAGCGAGTGCTCCAATGAAGCCCTTTCAATAGCCTTAAGGTCACTTTGAATCAGATTTAGCGCTTCGTGTAAATGTTCACTTTTAAAGGAGTGGTACAACTGCATGTCGTCTGCATACATGTGAACTAGACACGTCTTAGGAACTGATGTATAAAACAAAGTATATATAGTGAACAATAAGGGGCCAAGAATATACCCTTGCGGCACACCCCTAGATAGTTCCCTGTACCCAGATGACTTACCCATTAAAGTAACGCACTGTGACCTGCCCGTTAGGTAGCTATGAAGTAATGAGGTAGCATTAGGAGAAAGACCTGTAGCACGTAAGATGGAAATTGCAGTTTGGTGATTAATTGTATCGAATGCTCTACTGAAATCCAAGAGTAGCAATATGGACATCTTGTTCTCATCCTTAGCTTTCAGTAAATCATCCGTAACATTTAGTAGTGCAGTGGTGCAGCTATAACCAGGCCGAAACCCTGATTGATTGTCAGGGAGAATGTTATTCTGGGTCAAGTAACAACGTAGTTGGCCGTCCACTATCTTTTCGAAAACTTTTGACAGTACGGGCAGTAGACTGATTGGGCGTAAGTCGCTGAATTTATCTGCTTTAGCTCCTTTGATGATAGGAATTACTATTGCCTTCTTCCAAAGGGTTGGAAATGTGTTAGTAAGTAAGCAATAATTAATTATATGAGCCACATACGGCAAAATGTTAGGACAAAATAGTTTAATAATGTCAACGTTTAGTCCATCCCAACCAGCACATTTCGTTTTAATACTATTGATAATCTTGGCAATCGTAGGTACATCGATAACGGAAAATTCAAAATTGACCACAATTTGAGATGAGGAAACACAATAGTCGTCAATATTAAACTAATCGCCAGCAACAATGGGAATATTATCAACAAAGTAATCATTTATCTCATCAGCCCGTTGAAGATGCGGAGGAATTAATTTCTCCTTATTGGCAACAACTTTTAATTTTTTAAGCTCTCTCCACAAGACTTTAGGGTCATTTCCTCTAAGTTTAAATTCAACAAACGCTTTTTTTTCCAACTTTACAGTTTTGTTGGTGAGATTACGAAGCGCTTTATAGTATTCCCACTGCTGGGGAGATTTGGTATGCTTGAATTTACAGTAAGCTTTGTCCCTTAGACGCATTAAGTATTTCGTGTTATCAGATAACCACGGAGCCTGGGGTTTGGTTTTTCCTGAAACTATTTTTAAGGGTGCGTGTTTGTTTATTATATTTAGTATATGATTATTAAGATAATTTATTTTTGAGTCTACGTCCCTCAAGTAGAATATCCTTTGCCATGCCACTCTTTGAATGTCTGCAAAAAACAGCTCCATATTAACATTTTTAAAATTACGTACCGTTTTGTAGAAATTATATGGTTCAGTTTTATCGTGTTCGATTTCACAGAAGATGGTTTCATGATCAGCGAATAATGTGCCACCAATGCCAGATTCTCGTATACGATTAATGTCGGATACCAATATGTGGTCTAAGAGTGCCGTGTCAGATCGAGTTGCTTCATTAATAATTTGAACCAAACCTACACATTCTAACATGTTCAAATAATAACGTGTTTTATGCGACGCTGTATCTAAAATATTAATATTTAGGTCCCCTAAACAAATGAAGAAGTCAACCTTGAGTAAAAACTCAGAACAAGTCTCCTCAAATTCATCACAGAATATCTTACCGTTCACTTCAGGCGATTTATATACCACCCCAACAACCAGAGACAATTTAGTCATAATAATATTCAACCACACCTGCTGAGATGTGTTACTGCTGGTTTTTAATACACTGTAATTAAATGAATTTTTAATATAGATACAGACCCCTCCTCCTCTCTTCTCCTGAGCTCGATCATTTCTAACCAAATTGTAGCCAGGAGTACAAAGATAGTCATCGCTTATTTTCGCATTCAACCAAGTCTCACTGACCGCTAAGACATCATAATCATCATTTTCCAAGAAGCTTTGAACAATGTGCAATTTAGGAATTAGAGACCTAACATTGATGTGCGCAAAACGCATTAACTAAAATAAAATCAAGTATAGGATGTAATAAAAATTTAAAGAAAGGAAAAAATAAACAATCACAAAGAAGTATACAATAAGGATAGAAATCAAATGTTTACATTTACAAACTTAGGTTACGCTTTAGTGTACATAAACATTGCTGCATGCGTCCGATAACCATATCTTCACTTATTTCTGACAAGGTTGTTGAGGTGTTGGCGAGTTGTGCATCTCTTGATACCAGTATCAGTTTTGACACAAATTTTTCCATCGCTAGTCCAAACCCTTTTGCTGCCGAATATATTTACTGCTTCTTTCAATAACAACATCCGATGACGAGTGAGATCTTCTCGGATAACTATAGACGTACCTTTTAACTTCTTTTTGTTGTAAAAGATTTGGTTCTTGATGTCACGACGTACAAATTTTACAATAATCGGTTTTTGAGTTTTCCCGTCGGACGGTAAACGATGACAAATGTCAATATCAGATATAGATATAACACAATTTAATTTCTCTTGACACATGTTACGTACCACCTCGGACACCTTTTCGTTAGGCTCTTCAGGTACACCGAAAATACGGATGCTGTTAACACGCGTATATTGCTCATGAGCGTCTAGGATGTTGTCTACTTCAGCTTGTTTTTCTTTCAGTTCACGCTCAAGAGCGTTAATTTTATCTTCGTAAACTTGTAAGGCTGTTGATAATTCTTCCTTTATGGACACAGAGATTGCAGATTTGAACTTTTCTGTTAAAACATCGGATGCCAAAAGTTTATCGACCACCTTTTGTGCAAGTAAGTCCATATCACTGATGCCGCCGCTTTCTCCACTCCTTGTTGTAGGCATCTTGATTAATGATAATAACTATCACACTTTTACTATTGAGAATTTAAATTTACAGCGCAGGAAGAGCACGTCTACTCAGCACCAAAGCACATAACCGATTCCAATTCCAATTGTCCTGCCGAATTACACTCGAGGTTTGTATTTAAACCGAGTAAATTTGGGTTGTTGAAATTCAAATCTGTTTCCTTTTAGCAACTGAACTCGAAAAACTGTCAACCTAAAAATGCTCCACCTTCGATGTCGTATTAAAATTAGTTGACAGTTTTTCTCGTCTAATTGCTAGGCAACAGATTTTCAACCTAAACAACCCAAATTTAATCGGTAAAATACAAACCTCTTGTGCAATTATAAGTGAAAAAAAATTAAAAAAATAGTTATTTGTTTCATTAGTACAAAAAATGTCAGTTTTCGGGACGAGGAAGATAGTTGCTGGACGACGCGTTAGCGGAGTCCAGCAACCTTCCGAGTCCCGAAAACGCATTTTTTGTACGAATAAAACATAAAATTTTTTCTCCAACCCCCTTTACTTCAAATTATATTCGAATTTAGATTCAGTCACAGTTTCACTACTATAGTATAAAAACTTCTGCTTTCTTGTCCTCACGTGTCACGCCACTCTAGTTTTTAGGTTAACTTATCGTTCTTACTTCTTACTTCTCACCTCTCGCGACTTTGTAGGGAGCAAATCTTGAGGTAGCATGTTCTGCGGTTTCTATAATCTCTGGCGGAGTGCAATCCATGTCGCTATCAGTTTCAGTCATTTTATTGTATACACAATTAATATTGTTATATTTTGTATAGAAATAAAAAACTTACCGTACAGTTTTTTAATTAAAATTAATTGCAATTAACTTTTTCAAATTTTGAATTCACAATGACACATAATAGTGCAATGGGTCTGAAGTAGATGGCGTTACGCGCGACGGCGAGTTGTATACGTATTAAAATTACGTTCATCGAATATGTAAATTACGTTACACATGGTTTAAATAAAAATAGCGAGCGTAGATCATTTTCAATACATGTACATACGTATAGGTAACAGCATTATTTGCATTGAATATGCAAAAATATTTGATTTGTATGTATAGAAATATCTTACAACCTGCAATGTAAAACGATGTCAATGTGACATATCTCCGTGATTGTAATTTTTTAATTGGCCAACTTTCAAGGTCAATTTCTTTTTGGTACTAGGACCAAAAGTATCCACTTTTTGTACAGTTGCCATGGTGAATTAATTAATCCGCAAAACGTCAATTTTAGGTACCGAACACTGTCACAAAATAGCGTCTTATTCAGGTGGTTGGAGAAAAAAAGAATTTAAAATTAAAATAAATTGTCGAACAGAAATATGTTTCGCTGTTTTACATTTTAGATTAACCTGAGAAATCGGCGCCAAGCCACACCGATGACATCCTGCTAGCCGTGCAAGCGAAATGTCGTTAAACATGGACACATCACGTTTTATTATGGCTCGCAAAGGCAGCTAAAGCTAAAGATTGGAATGAAGGGCCAAATAGAATTACTATTAAAACAGTTTCAAACGCTACTTAATTATCATGGGATAAAAATAAAAATTAAATAGTTTTTTTCTTAAATTTTTACAAGAAAATAGACATGTAGACATGTTCTATGTCAATGAATAATGATAAAATACCATAAATTTTACAAATGTAGTAAATACCTATTCCATAAAAAGTAAAATAAAGATGTATCTTAATGCTTAAAAAAGATGGGCAAAACGTACTATCAGTTGTACCTTTTGCGTAAATGCATCAGCCCGCCGTTTGTAACCGTTCTTTTCCAGATATTTCTGTTGTCTTTTTTTGTGTCTCTTGTCATTTTGAAGAAGAAGGGAAAATTAATATTTTAGAATTTCAGCCATGATAAGCCATTATTAGCAGGTTTTGTTTGCTAAATGTGTTTCAGTAAATGATTGGGGGTCCTTAGTGCCTAATTAAGAGGAATTCCAAATTCATTAAAGATGTTTTAATTTTCGTGTTATCGAAGGCAAGAATTCCTGGGCTCGCCGTTCTCCATTCGACTTACTTGGAGCACCCGACGCCGCCGTTCCTGACGAGAAGCAGGGTTTCTGAAAACCTTCTGGTGGCGCCCGAGGCGCTCTCGTTCCGCGGTTTGTTGCCGCCGCGCCGCGCCGATCTGCGGCCCTCCGCCGACTCTTTTCGCAGTCCCGTCTCCATATTTTGTATTGTAAATTACCGCTGGATGTTTTTTTAAATTGTCATTAACTTTTATTTTGTAATGATACCCTTTAATTTGTGTTTTTTAGCGCATTTTTGGTAACAAAAAGGAGCTTATCATTTCACTTTGTCCGGCTGGCTGGCTGGCTGGCTGGCTGGCTGGGCGGATTGAAAAACTTTTGATCTAGACATCGTAGAGAGGTCCGGTTTTTTGCATTATCTCCGTCTTGTCGAGTTATTGGCGCAATGGACATTCATTAAGCCCGTAGTGGTTGCGTTTAATTAGAATTTGCGAAATAACTAACGCCGCTTGAAAACTTGTCCGTGCGTATATCGATTTTAAGCCGATCCGATTGACGTAGAGGAATGGCTTTTTTATAAAATATACTTTTGGCATTGCCTAACTACGGTCACTAATATGACTTATCTAGGATAACTACTTCAAGGTGAAAACTAATCAAAATCATAACACGGTGATGAGTTTTACAGTTTGTGGTATAATTTTGGTTAAAAATATCGTATCCAGGTCTGAGCGGTTTTTAGCGTAACACAACGAAGTTGAGGTAACGCTTATGTGCTCGTGTTTCCGTCTGTCCGTCCGCCCGCCCGTCCGTCCGTCCGTCCGTTCCATCGAGATCTCGGCCCCTGGGACACCTAGAGACTTCGGGTTTTCGCTAATTGATAGCTGCTATGGTCTATATTTGCCCATTTCAGACAGTTTTATTGCACTCTCTATTTTGCGCAGACTGCGCATTGCCAACTTTCTTATTTATGGAGATATTTCTTTGAAATTTTAACCACAGATGCTTCTAGTAAAGGCAAACATTTCACACATAGTAAAAATTATGTAGACATGCGCAGTGACTGCGCAATGCGAACTTTCCTATTTACTGAGATTTTTCTTTGAAATTTTAACCACAGATGCTTCTAGTAAAGGCAAACATTGCGCACATACTAAAAATTATGTGTGCGCATGCCCAGTCCCTGCGGAATGGGACTGCGCAATGCCAACTTTCCTATTTATGGAGATATTTCTTTGAAATTGGAATCACAGATGCTTCTAGTAAAGGCAAACATTTCGCAAATAGTAAAAATTATGTGTAGGCATGCGCAGTGACTGCGCAATGCCAACTTTCTTATTTATGGAGATATTTCTTTGAAATTTTAACCACAGATGCTTCTAGTAAAGGCAAACATTGCGCACATACTAAAAATTGTGTGCGCATGCCCAGTCCCTGCGGAATGGGACTGCGCAATGCCAACTTTCCTATTTATGGAGATATTTCTTTGAAATTGGAACCACAGATGCTTCTAGTAAAGGCAAACATTTCGCAAATAGTAAAAATTATGTAGACATGCGCAGTGGCTGCGCAATGCGAACTTTCCTATTTACTGAGATTTTTCTTTGAAATTTTAACCACACATGCTTCTAGTAAAGGCAAACATTGCGCACATACTAAAAATTATCTGCGCAATGCCAACTTTCCTATTTATGGAGATATTTCTTTGAAATTGGAACCACAGATGCTTCTAGTAAAGGCAAACATTTCGCAAATAGTAAAAATTATGTGTAGGCATGCGCAGTGACTGACTCTTATTTCTTTGAAATTTGAACCACTGATGCTCCTAGTAAAGGCAACAACTTGTTGATTGCAGCGTTATCGGAGATCGGGGATTTTATTGAGGCAACTGAAGACGTCTTGATTATGGGAGACTTTAATTTCCCATTAACTGTCGGAAATCGGGTAGAGAAATTTCTTCAAGAGAAATTCAATATAGTGATCATCTCTCCCCGAACAGTGACAACGAATGGCGGAACAATAATTGACGGAGTTTTTGGCAAAATGG